GGGCTCGTGCCTGGCATTAAAATCGGGAGGTCGAAGGCCCAGCTGCCGCTCCGGGTGGAGGGGGAGGAGATCCCGGTGCCTGATGGTTTTACCCAGACCCTCAGCGATCACTTGCTGCTGGTGTACACGGGGAAGACTCGCCTGGCCCGCAACCTGCTCCAGGTAACGCCTGGGTGCCGCAGGCTCTGCCCTCCACTCCTGCTGTTGTCTTTGTTTCTTTTGTTCTTTTGATGGTCTGTCTCCATCGCTGGTGTGGGGCTTTGCCACCCCGGCAGGAGCTGGCACCGATGGCTGCGGGTGCAGCACTACCCCCCTGGTGCTGCCACAGCCCGGAGGATGGTGACAGGGACGTTCTGCTCTCTTGCAGGACGTGGTGAGGAGCTGGTACGCCAGGCTGCCCTCCGCCGTGCAGAACGCCGACGCGCTGGTGAGCAACGCCGAGGAGTGTGCCCGGGCCTTGAGGCAAGGTGCGAGCCCCCTTCCCTGGGCCAGGCCGGCCCTCTTAACGGCTGAGGAAACACCAGCTTCCCTGGGGACAGTCTGTGCAGTACTTCCCCGGGGGGGACAAGAGCTGCGGGGCGTGCAGGCTCTTGCAGCTGCAGAGGCCTCAAATCTTCCCGCAGGCGCACTGGCACGTTACAGGCAATGCCCCAAAATTCAGGCTCGAGTGAAGACGTGAGGAGGCAGGGGTCTGGCTGATTTTCTGTGAGCCATCCGCGCTGGGGCTGGGGGCTGTGCCTCGCCTGCACCGTGGATTCATTTGGCCTTTGGCTGCTGGGATGCTGCGGGGGCGAAGCCAGAGCATTAAAGCAAACGAATTCTTCCCCAGTGGAAGATTAAAAATAAACAGCAACGTGACAGGGCTGGGTTTGCTCGGTCAGCAGGCAGAGCTGGGAGGAACCGGGTAGATGAGCAGGCAGAATTTAGCTTGGGCTGAGCAGGAGAGGAAGGGACGGGTTTCTGCCCCTTGGGCAAGAACTAGAGGCAAATCGTTTGTGCTCTCCTCTCTCCGGCAGGTAACCTGCCGCTTGTCGGCAAGTGTCTGGACCACTACTGGCAGCAGAAGAAATGCATGGCCCCGGGGTGCGAGCCGCTTGCCCAAGGGCGGCGAGCCGTTGGCCGTCAGGCACATGATGGCTGCTCTCCAGCCCTACGTCTACGGGCAGTGCTTGGCCGGCGCTGGTGGCGGTGGCTTCCTTTACATCTTAACCAAAGCCCCGCGGCAGAAAGAGGCTTTGCACCAAATTCTAGCAAAAACCGAGGTGAGATGTGAGCTCCCAGGTGGCTCGCTGTCACAGGTGGCGTGCAGAAGCTCACTTTATGTAGCACAAGCACTAGGAGCACCTCGCCCTGTGGGGTGAGATTGTTTGTCGTCCCCTTAGCCCTCCCCAGGACCGCGGAGGTGAGAACAGTTCTCTTGCTGTCTCCTGCCCCAACCTCTTTTTTTTTTTTCCTTTATTTTTCTAGGGACTGGGCAACTTCAGCATCCACAGCATTGAAGTGGACATGGGTGGTTTCTCTGTGGAGGTTGTGGGATGTGAGCTGGAGGACGGTGCTCGCCCTGGAGGGGATGTGGCTGTGTGAAGGCCTCCAGCCCGGACCTGTTCCCGGCAGATACGCAGGGCAGGGGAGGTTGCAGCCGGCTGCTTTCCAAGCAGGGCAGTCCCCACACGGATCCAGCAGGTGCCTTAAGTCTTGATGTGGCCTTTTTGTGCTGCTACTTGCCCCAAAAACCACAGCGGTCGGAGAAGCTGTGACAAGCCAGGCAGGGAAAACCATCCGCAGAGGGTGGCCTTGTTGGAAGGACAGTCTGCTAGGGCCACCAGGCTGATTTCGGGGTTTCACTCCAATTTTTATGGTTCTCCAAAGGGAAAAGAATAGCATTTGTGATGCTGCTTCTAGCAGGAACATTCCTACTCTTCCAGCATCGGGGGCCTGCACTGCCCATTTGGCATGCAGTGCTCCTGCAGCAAGGACGCACCTGGGTGTGGAATCAAGTCCCTCTCCTGTGCTGAGAGACTATTTCTGCAGTGATTACTAGTCCCTGCAGTCTCTTTGAATAAAAAACCTTGTTCCCAGCATCTGTTTATGCCCCTCTGTCCCTAGCAGGGCTCTTCCCCTCCCACGGGATAGCAAGGGCCCAGCAGTGCGGGGTACAAAGCTCTTGCAGGGGTGGGTAAGGCAGAAACTGCATGCAGGGGCTGGACGTGCCCCTCCTGAGGCTGCGGCATGGCAGAAGATGAGGAAGGGTGGATGATTGTCCCTGCAGCTCCCTCCGGGCCCCCAGACACACACGGCACCCAAGACTGCTGCTCAGACAGGTGAGGTTTATGTGCAGAGTAGCTGTACAGGGAGACAGCCCCCGCTTCCCCGCTCTGCCATGCACCCGCCCCACAAGGAAACCACTCCTTTTCCCTTCGCCAGAACC